CGTCTCTTACAGCAAAGACAGAACCTGCAGGTACAGCTGTCCGGACTCCAGAGTGACTACGACAGCCTCAACGCCCGCCTGGAGGAGGAGATCGAGAGCGGCAACAGCCTGAGGAACCAGCTGTCCAAGGTCAACGCCGACTACGCCGCCCTCAAGGCTAGGTTTGACAAGGAGCTCCAGGCCAAGACTGAGGAGCTGGAGGAGACCAGGTACGGCCATATACGTTAGCTATTCAGTAACCAATTCAATCATCAATTCAATCATCAAATCAATCACGTAACCAATCGATAATCGATAAACCTCGAGGAGATTGAGCAGCTTGAGGAGACCAGATACAGGCCTATAAGTGAACTATTCAGTAATCAATGCAATCATTAATTCAGTCATCAATTTAATCATTCAATCAATCGATAAACGATCAATTATGATATATGGATAATCGATCACTTATGACTTTTCAGTAATCAATTAAATCATCAAATCAATCCTTCAACCAATCAGTAATTGATAAGCCTCGAGGAGACTGAGGAGCTTGAGGAGACCAGGTACGGCCATATACGTGAACTATTCAGTAACCAATTCAATCATCAATTCAATCATCAAATCAATCATTCAAACCAATCGATAACCGATCATCACCAACTATTCAGTGATCCTTTCAATCATCAAATCTATCAACAATTCAATCAACAATTCAATCCTTAATTCAATCATTCAACCAATCGATAATAGATAAGCTTCGAGGAGACTGAGCAGCTCCAAGGGACCTGGTACTCACGACTGACTATTCAGAAATCAAACAAATCATCAAATCAATCAACAAATTAATCATCAAATCAACCGTCAAATCTATCATCAAATGAGCAATCAAACCAATCATTCAACCAATAGCTACGATAAGGCAAGAGGAGACCAGTCTTTATTTCTAGTGTTACATTATTCTATACCTTCCCTTGTTTCTCTCTCTTTCTTTCTCTCTCTCTCTCTCTCTCTCTCTCTCTCTCTCTCTCTTTTTTTTTTCTCTCTCTATCTATCTATCTATCTATCTATGTTTATATCTATCTATCTATCTCTCACTTTCCTTCTTTCTATCTCCACGCACATCCATACATCACCCCAATCCACCCTTCTCCCTTCCCCTCCGTATTCCACTCTAAACACACACTTCCATAGCCAAAACACACAGTCCACCACACCATCTGAGACTCGAACCCCTACCCTCTGTGTCCCTCCCTCAGACGCCGCCTGACCTCCCGTATCACCGAGTTGGAAGACAACTGCGAACAGCTCCGTGTCAAGAACAGCAGCCTGGAGAAGACCAAGGCTAAACTCACCAACGAGATCAAGGAAATCACCATCGAACTCGAGAACGTAAGAAGAGACGCATGATTCGTCTGTGTTGGTCGTGCAATAGTACGCATTATTGTTATGTTTGTCTTTTGCGTCGTATTTGAGTCATAGAAGATCAGTTACGTTTGGGTTGCGTTGCGTGGACTTTGTTTGTTGCTTGAGTACAGGTTTACTATGTCTGTGTCTTTCTGCCTCTCTGTATCTCTGTCTCTCTGTCTTCCTGTCGCTCTCTCTATCTATCTATCTATCTATCTATCTATCTATCTATCCATCTATCTATCTATCTATCTATCTATCTATCTATCTATCTATCTAACTAACTATCTATCTATCTATCTATCTATCTATCTATCTATCTATCTATCTATCTATCTAACTAACTATCTATCTATCTATATATCTATCTATCTATCTATCTATCTATCTATCTATCTATCTATCTCCTTCTCTTTCTGTTTCTCTTGCTGTCTCCCTCTCCCTTTCAAGATACGTTAGTCATAGCCCCCTCCTCCTCCTCCTTCTCCTCATCTACTTCCTCTTGCTCCTCCTCTTCTTCTTCTCCTCCACCCCCTCCTTCTTCTCTTACTTCTCCACCTCCACTTCCTCAACCACCCACTCCCCTCCCTCCTTCATCTCTCTAACCCCCACCCCCTCTCTCTCCCTCCTGATTCTCTTCATAATCCTACTCCTCCTCCTTCTCGTCCACCACCTCCCAACCACTCCCCCCAAAACACCACACACCCCTCCACCACCTCTCTAACCCCTCCTCTCTCCTTCCCTCCCTCCCACAGACCCAGATCATCGTGCAGGATCTGACCAAGCGCAACCGCCAGCTCGAGAACGAGAACGTCGCCCTCCAGAAGCGTGTGGATGAGCTCACGGCTGAGAACAACGGACTCCGCGCCGATAAGGCTAACCTGGAACAGGAGGTCTACAGGCTGCGTGTGGCAAACGCCGAGCTCACCGAGCGCAACGAAAACCTGCAGAGAGAGAACAAGACACTTTCGGGTGAGTCAAAGATGGAGAGAAGAGGAAGAAATAGACAGAAAAAGTTACTTGTACAGTGTGCAGAGATAGAGAGAACAAGACGCTTTCGGATGAGTCAAAGATGGGGGAGATATGGGGGAAAATAGGAAGAAAATGCGGTCAATTGTCTGAGAAGGAGACAATTTCAGGGGAGTAAAAGATGGAGAGAAGAGGAAGAAATAGACAGGAAAAGTTACGTGTACAGTGTACACAGATACAGAGAACAAGACACTTTCGGGTGAGTAAGCGATAGAGAGAAGAGGTTAATTTGGGGAAAGTAAAGAAAGAGAGAAGAAGACACTTTCGGGGGAGTAAAAGATTGAGAGATGAGGGAAAATAGGAAGAAAAAGTTACTTATCAGTGTCAGATGATAGAGAGGGGAAGAAACTTTTGGGTGATAACGATAGAGAGTACAAGATACTTTGGGGTTTTAAAGACAGAGAGAAGAAGACACTTTTAAGTGAATAAGGATAGAGAGAAGAAAACACTTTCGGATGAGTAAAAGATGGGGAGAAGAAGAAAAAATAGGAAGAACAAGATATTGGTCAGTGTGCAAATATAGAGAGAACAAGACACTTTGGAGTGAGTAAAGATAAAGAGAAAACGTTACTTGCCTGGGTGTAATGAAAAACAAAGCAATACATCTAGAAAGCTAAAGATAGAGAGCATAAGATACTTTCGGGTTAACAGAGATAGAGAGAATAAGATTCTGGTCCCTGTTTAAAGACAAAGATAGTAAGTAATGTATTTAGAAAGCTAAATATTATTATAGAGAGAATAAGATACTTTATGAAGGGGAAAGTTGTTGTTGTTGTTGTTGTTGTTGTTGTTGTTGTTGTTGTTGTTGTTGTGGCTCTCGTTGCCAGTCAACTAACGACCCCTGCCTTCCTCCCCCCCCCTCCTCTTTCCTGTGTCACGTGGTTACA